TATTAATGTTGAGTTAAATTTCAGCTTAAAACTATTTCAGAGAGTTTTGAGTTAGTTTCGTAGTCCTGGGAGGGAATAAATAAATCAGTCAATCTGCTGGGCATTCTCACAGTTTGGTCTTTATGAAGATCAGTAAACAAATAGTAGTTTATTTTGGGACATATAAACCTGAATTGTAACAGAGGTGATCAGGGTAATTACAATGTTAATTCTTAGTAAAATCTTGATAATTCTTAGTAACATTCTGATTAATTCTTAGTAGTATCTTGATAAAATACATTACTCAGAGGAAATAAAAATTCCATTTCCACTGACTCAAGGGCTCTGGGTAATTAACTGCTCCCCTTGTGCCTACTTTAAAAATAGGGTTAATGTGAGGTGTGCATTTCAGGATTTGGTGGTGGAGGCAGGAAGTGCAGCATGAATGGAGGCAGGCAGGAGTTGTGAGTGTGATTTACTGCCTTTAAAATACCTCGAGGCTTTCAGAGGCAAGAAACTTCACAAATACAGAGTTCCAGTACTACTGTTGAGAATTGAAAGTTACAAACAAATGTTGTCTTTAGTTGAGATGGAAATTTTGAATTCTTGGTTTGCAGTGTGTTACTACAGTAAAGACAATATCTTAGTAAGAGAGACAATTTCTGTACAAATTCAGGTTATGACTTGACAAAAAAAAGTCTGATGGAAATTAAGCTCTTCAAATATAGGTGTGTTGCTGGCTGGAAGAGGCCTTCCCCTTGTTTTTTAGACTGAAAACAAAAGCTCTTCTTCACAAAGCAAAAAAAAAATAATAAAAAATTTTCTGCCAACCATTTTGTCAGATCACAAAAGTAAAGTTTCAAGTTTGTCTTTATTGCAGAAGCTGTCAGGAAATGCTCAAGGAAAGGCAGTCTGATTTCTCCTACCCTGTTCTTCCCAAAATGAGGAAGTTCTGTTGTTTCTTGAGTTGAAAGATGTAATGTGTTACATACCTTCTCAGTGGGGAAAAGTGAGTGCAGGCTGCAGCTCTGAGCCAGGCAGCAGCATTGCTCAGTCAGGACAGTCCCCCCACACAGGGACAGAACAACTCTCTCTATAGGAAAGAACTCCAAAATAAATCAGTAACAGGAATATATCTTGATCTGAAAATTAGGCATGGTTTTGACATAACAGGCTTGTTAAAAGTTGGTAAAGAATTGGGGATGCAGGCATGACTGAATTTCTGTGACCTGCAGAACTAAGGGAAGGTTCTGTGTACTTCTCTGCATGAAGGCTGCCTCCTGAGTGCACTCCTTGAAGTTAAAGACATTTGAGTCTTCACAGAGAGCTGTTTAAAACATTTCACGTGTTTTTCCTTCCCCAAGCAGAAGAACGGGACCAAAAAATAAAGCACATTCTTTTATTTCTGATTGTTTTAAATTTTAATTACTACCTTCCATTTTAATATCTCAGATACATTTGCTTCTGTCTTAAGAGATGCTTCTTCTCCAGTGTTGCTGACTACAAATGACCTAAAGTGTTTGTTTTGTTTGGTTTTTTTTTAACATGTCATAGCAGTGTTGATATTTTATAACACGGGCAAAAGTACTTTATACTAAGTGACAGAATTTTTTGCAGAGCAATAAATGATCCTGTTATTTAGTCATGTCCAGAATCTGGCCTGAAGTGAGAATTGGCAGCCATGCTGAATGAATGAATTGCTTTCTGGAAAACAGCTTTCCCATGTAATCTCTGGGTAAACTTTACCGAAGAAAAAAATTTACTTTTTAACTTGGTGTAAGACTTGCTCACAATATAAAATTTGGTTTCATGCTTTGACAGTTTTATTTGAGTTATTCCACCAAGGTCACTTTTCTTTCTCCCTGTAAAATTCATTGCTGACATAGCAGATGGGCATATCTCCAGTGGACTTAGAACAGTCTATAAAAGAAATTAATTCAGCACCAAGTAGTACTTGAAGTGGCCTCGTTTGTGATTTGGGTAGAGCATAACAATTAAAAATAAAAATTAATTATGGTGAATTTGTTTTTTTTTTTTAAATTAGGCTTTGTTCTCATCTGTCTTGATTATTAGTTTAACTTACTGGACAAATTATTTGGTCTTGACTAATATGGACTTAAAAGTCTCTAAACAGTGAATTGATCTTTTCTGAACTCTCACACTCCCAGTGTTGCTCCTTATTTTGGATGTATCAGACTAGATCGAATTTCTGCTACACTTTTCTCCTTACAGACATATTTCTTTTTCAGTTGAATAGCTGAAGGAATAATCCTATTTCTTTGTTTGAAAAAAAAACCCAAACACACACCTAAAAATCGGTCTGTTTTTAAAGCCTGTAGCCCTTTCTGAAGTTGCTAGAGCAGACTTTTCATGAAAAGGCACATGCACAAGGAGGAAATCTTCATTTAACATATTGCATTGCTGTGCTTTTCCTAAAATGCCTCTGGAAGCCGGGTAGGTTTTCTGGTAACTGTCGCACAGTGAAAGAGTTCCTTCTTGAACGAGTTTTGTTACGAGTATCAGATGTTACTGAATGTTAGAACTTGTTTGGGGGGGAAGGAGAAATGTTTATTCCACTCAGACTTGTTTTACCTGGCATGAATGTTGCTATTGGAATTCATCTCAAGTACAGTACTGCTGCTCCTATGTGGCTGATGTTTTTCAAGGAAATCGTAGGCCTAAAAATAGTCTGCATAAACAACAGTAAGAGGTTTGTACTTTCAGTTCCAGGTTTTAGCAATATCTTGTTGTTATTTTCTAATTGTCAGTTTCCAAAATCCATTAAGCTGATTAGCAGAGTGTTTAAAAACAAAACAAGAAACCCAAAACCAAAAATCCACCCCTTGTGGAACCTTGCATAAAATGTTATGCTTAGATAAATTCAGTACAGAAAGGCTGGGTCATTGTACTAAGCACCATTATATCTTTAGGATCGTGTTATATTCAGAACATTTTGAAGCGTCATCCAGCTTGTAAAATTGCTACATGATTCTGAAACTGTGGTTTTAGGAGAGAAAATAATGTGGAAGCACTCATGCTAATTGGAATTAATGATTGTTGTGCCTATTTACCATCCTCTGTGTACTGAACAAAAAGCTTTACTTCTCTTCCCTTGGATTAAATAACGAAATTACTTAACAGCCTGGAAAAGATGAGTTAAAAATCCAGCTTGCAAGTTGCAGTACACGTCATCAATTTTATTCTTGTGCATCTATCTCCATGTCACCTTTCATGATGCAAACAGAACTTTCCGCTTTGTCTCATGTTTTTAGTAGCATGTTTACTGAGATAGGTTTTAATGTGTTTAAAGTGGTGTAATTCAGACTAAACAAAAATTACTTTTTATTTGTCATTGAAATAAGATGCTCATCTAGTCCTGGTGAGAAGGGCATTACACTGAAGCCACTGTTAAAGCATACAATTTCCGCCCCCGCTTCCACTGCTCTCCCTTAGGTGATTTAGAAAGCTGGGAAGCAGGGACCCTTGCTGAGTTTAATGCAGGTTTGATTTCTGATTTGTGAATCTGGGACATGGCTACCTTTCCCTCCCCTTTAAATTGTTGCCTGCAGTCATAGTTACTGCACTTTCAGCATACCTACCTAAGTGTGGGATTAGGGGTGAACTCACCTTTATCATTTCTGCTTCATAAAGAATTAGTGCAAAGGAATTTAAAATTATACTTAAAGTGTATTGGTTTTAATACTGTGGTTAGCCATAAATGTTACAGGTAAAGTTAACAGTAGCAGCATTGCTAACTCTCTTAGTAATACTCAAATGGGAGGTGTCTGAGCACGGTGTAGCCCTGCTGCATACTTGGTGTTGGACAGACGGGTTGGGGCTGCAAATAACATCACATCTGCATCCCAAAGCTGCTGGTTTGCTGCGAGTCTGGTCAAAACACGACAATAAAACAGAATTAACAAACCGGTTGCTTGAGATTTTTGCTCTTTGAGTTGAAGTGAAAGTTAATCAGGAGTTAATCGGTAAAAACGTTTTAAAGACTCCAGGATATCCACTTTAGGTAATGCATAATGAACTTCAATTAAATGTGTCTTTTCATACCCATCTTGTCCACTACTTCTCCAGAAAGTATACTGAAATCTGGTACCAACAGTTGGCAGAAAATCGATATTCCCTCTCACTTAACTGAACTTGTAACGAAATTAGTTTAGGGATTTAATTTATTAAAAGAATTATAGTGATGATCACATCTGCATCCCAAAGCTGCTGGTTTGCTGCGAGTCTGGTCAAAACACGACAATAAAACAGAATTAACAAACCGGTTGCTTGAGATTTTTGCTCTTTGAGTTGAAGTGAAAGTTAATCAGGAGTTAATCGGTAAAAACGTTTTAAAGACTCCAGGATATCCACTTTAGGTAATGCATAATGAACTTCAATTAAATGTGTCTTTTCATACCCATCTTGTCCACTACTTCTCCAGAAAGTATACTGAAATCTGGTACCAACAGTTGGCAGAAAATCGATATTCCCTCTCACTTAACTGAACTTGTAACGAAATTAGTTTAGGGATTTAATTTATTAAAAGAATTATAGTGATGATAAATTAAAAAACAACAACAACAACAACAAAACAACAACAACAACAACAAAATCTTACTTTCAAGGAAGATTACATATAGGCAATATGATTGGGTCATTGTTTTACTGGTAGCAGCAGGAGATTACATTGTACCATTTATATGAATAAATTACCTAAATTAAACTGCTTGTCTGTTTTTTTAGCCGAGGGAGCAGAGTGGAAGGGAGTTGGAATGAGATTACCAGACCTGGTTAATAAAGCTGTGGGTTTGGCCCTCTGCTGGGGGGTACGGGGAGATGCACGTTTTCAGTAATAAATAGCACACACGCGTTGAGCAACTGAAGTGTATTCAGCATTTTGTGAATATGAGTGCATTAAAATCTATCAACTCCTATCTGGGAACCTGTCAGTTAATAAAGCATTAGACACCTTGTCTGATATAGGCAGGAAAAGTTAATTATTTTTTTTTCTCTCTTTCCAGTTTCCTAGACAAGATTGACATAGTCAAACAAAATGACTATACACCGTCTGACCAGGTAAGGAAAGTCTCATTAAGGAGTTACACAATTTCTCTATCTCCTCTGTTCTTGAGGATAACTGTCGTTAATTTTCCAATTGCCATTTGTAGCACTAATACAGCTATTACCATGTACTGTTTGTATCTAGTATTCCAGTAAAAAGACTTTGTTGTTTGGATTGAGTTTATGTTTTTACATGTAAATTTACTGAGAAATTAAAATCTGCCTAGGTTTAATACTTATGTGATACTTCCGTGACACTAAAACTCAATTATCTATTTGAATGAGTAATTCATAATGCTTTGCCCTCCTTGCTGATAACCATAATGTGCTTGCTTCCTTTGATGCAAAGTTGGTTGGTATCTTCTTGGCCCCACTGACTCCCTCTGTAAACTGGATATTTTTCAATTTATTTTTTTTTAAATCAGATTAGGCATTGTAGTTTTCATTTTACTACAGATCACCTGGGGATCTTTTTAAAACTGAACCCCTAATACAAAATGATATGTATATTTCTTACATACGTAAAAAATGCAGTTGAACATCTAGCCTACTTTTATGAGGTAAGTAACCAAAACACATACTGTAGTCGCAAAACATTCACAGACAATACTGGTGAGGAGAGAGGTTTGTATCCTTTTTATCCTTTTATCCTTTTTTAAGTTGTTCAAGAATAAGTTAATCACTCATCCTTTAGAAATCTGAGGGGTTTTATAAATTATGTTTTCTTATCACTGAGATAATCATATTCTCAAGAAACAAATTGTTAAAAAAACAGGTTATTATATTTGAAATTTGGAGCAAGTGATCTTCAGATGGGAAACTTTAAAAATAGTTCCAGTTTTATATTGGAGGCTAAGGGTGTCAGGAGCTTAACTTGTATTTACTTAATATATAGTACTAAGCATAGATCTTAAAATTTACTTATAGTAATTACTTAAGTAATGTGAGTATTTAAGTAGTTACTTAAGTAGAACAATTGCATACTGTTCTTTCCGTAAGCAAGCACCAGTATTTAAGGAGCTTGTTTGGGACCATTGACTGCATTGAAACTCCCCACAAGGATACTGTAAAACAGGCCCATTGGAATTATCCTCTGGGATGTTACATGTTTCTCCTGAGTGTAATAATCGAAACACTTCCTGTCTTTTTTTATTTTTTTGTCATTGAGGTGGATGAATACTTTTTGTTGTTGTTTGTTTTTTTGGTAATTTCATACCTGTATTGATTTCTAGGGCCACAGAACTCCAGAGTCCAGTTTTCCAAATTTACATCTGTTTATTGGAACATTCAAATTTTCAAATTGTTTCAAACGCAAGTTAGATCAGTGTTTAAATATATACATATTTCAATATGAGTATTGGAATAGCCAGACAACAAAAATTTATTATCAGAAAACTGATGTTAAAATGTAGCCAGTTTGTTTAATGATTTAACAGTGTTGTCTAACCTTTGGATTTTGTGTGGTTTTTACTTTGACTAACCAGTTTGGTACCTACCTAGTAAGAACAGAGCTTTTATTGTGCATAGCATTTTTTTCTTACAGCCTGTTCCACTTACATGATCTTGTCAGTTGCGAATGTTACAATTCATCTGTTATTTAGGCCCATTATGAAGAAGACCCAAAATTTTAAGCCTTAAACTGTAAAACCTTGAGTGGAATTCAAAGTAGTATTTAGTAGTTCGTTGCATTTGGACTGTGTGTTCAGGCTGCAGCCTATGCAAATTAAGTTCTCCTAGATCAGTTACCCACTGGGCACTGTGTAGAGCTGTTGCTGCCTGGCAATACACAGTAAATAAAAGCCAGTGCAGTTTGGTTTTAATAGAATTTTGTACCACTTAGAACAATTTAAATTGTTTGTAGCTCACAACTTCTGATTATCATTTTTCTCTCTACAGAAAATTCCAAGTTTTATCTTTGAAAAGCCCAATTCTTAAAAGATTTAAGTGCTTGAGCTCCAATGTTCTTTGAAGGAAAAACACTGAAAATTCTCAGACCTGGACACTTCTTTTATTAGCCAAGTACTGAACAGTTGAGGAGACATCTATCTGGGGAGTTGGGAATTATTTGGTGGTAGTTTAAAGATCCTGTTGTGTGCCACAATTCCACTGAAATCTGTAAATGCAGCATCTGATCTTCAGGGATGGGTCTGCCCTGTTCTGAATATTTGTGTTTTCTCTAAGTGACTTTATTCCTCTTCCAAACTTGCCATATACAAGCTGCTTGTGAAAATATATGTACTTTAGAAGTTGAGGACACCCAAATGTGGGCACACATGTTCAAGTTTGAAAGTGTCAAATGCAGCTTCACGGTGCAGTTTCTGCAGTACAGCAGCATATGCTGTCAGCACAGGGTAAAAGGTTTTGATCTCTGTGGTTGGATACATGAAGAATTATGAAGTCTCTGTGTTGAATCAGTGACTTTTCCTTTATGCTCTAGGATCTTCTCAGATGCAGAGTTTTGACATCAGGAATTTTTGAAACCAAGTTTCAAGTGGATAAAGTAAATTTTCAGTAAGTATCCTCTTTTTGTTTTTTTTTAGTGGAATGCAGACAAATAGCAGGGTAAACAGGCAGGCAGCAAGACAGCCTACCATATAGTCATTAAACATTGAGATGTTTAGTAGAGAGCAAGTATTTTATGATTATTTTTTTAAAAATGTAGTTAGTCTGGCTTTAAAAAAAAAAAAAAAGCAAATTGGCGTGTAATTTTCTGCTTGTATTTTAAATTGCAAAGAACAAAGTGGTTTAAATCTATTTTTACTAATGCTTTTTCTTCAAGTCATTGCTACTTTATATAGTAAACGGTTTGCCCAAAAACTTTGTACATATCTAAGTAGCAGAAAATGCAAATTCTCCTTATTGTCCCAGATTAGAAAGATTGCTTGATGTGAACAAAAGATACTGAGTTTTAGTCAGGTCTTGTTGACTTCAGAGCTGTGATTTGATTTCAGCACATGACTGATTGTAGGCCCTTCTTTTAATTAAGTCTTAGCTCATAAGGGTAAAAATAAATCTGCAATGTACATACACCAGAATTTCCTACCTTCTGAGTGTAGGTATTAATGAAAGTGAACATAATTTTATGAGAGCTCTGCATGCCTGTGTTGGTCCATTATTACCTCATAATCCTCAATTCCTTTCAGTTTCTGTGACATGTGGGTTCTAAAATTCCTTACATTTTCTGTTTGCATTTGAAGGGGAAAAAAAAACCCCAAACACAAAATGTATTCTGAATCAATTTATGGTTTGTTTTTTTCTTAGTATGTTTGATGTTGGAGGGCAACGAGACGAACGCCGAAAATGGATCCAGTGTTTTAATGGTATTGTTAGAATTTGTTTCTTTTATAGAACAGTTCTCTGCAAGATTTTAATGCCCAATCTGAACTTTCTTACTGTGTGAAAGCCATTTTCTTTTCCATGTAGCTTGATAAGGAACTATTTGAACAGTTATATGGGATGGAATTTTTCTTTACATGTAAACTTGTGTGATTGCATAGAGTATCTTTAGGGAGAATGTAAGTGGAAAGGAGTTCAAGTTTGATGATAACTTAATGTCTTAACTCCCATACAATTTGAATTGGGTAGTTCTTTGTGTATCCTGAAGTATTGCATGGTACCTTCACTACAGAGGTTTGTTTTATTCTGTATCTCTGTTCAGATATGAAACTTTTCTCCAAATATATTTTTGTCTTTGTTTAGAAAAATATTTAGGAAGCTACACACAAGTCTCTCTTTTTGTAGAAAACTCATCATGAGATCCTACAGAATAGATAAAAGTAGAATGAAACTTACAATTCATAATTTTGTTACAGTTACTGTCATAGAGTATCACCTGAACACTTTATATAAGACTGGAACTACTGTGTAATATTTTCTTCTGTGCTTTTAATAAGAGATCTGTTTGGGTTTTACCTCTGCTCTTTCTTCTTCCTGCTACCTCATGGTCTGACTCATCCCTTCTGCTCTCGATGTCTGAGGTAGATGAGCCTGGGAGTCAGTGTAAGGGGTCTGGAGCAGCACAGCCACACAGGAACAGAGATCTGGATTCTCAAATCCTGGGAGTATCTCCCAGGAAAGAGATAGGGGCCTCTAAGCAGTATAGTGTGCTCTGGGAGGACTAGAGCAATTAACCATGAAGTCACAATAATCTACTGTTTTTATTATTGCCATTCACACAGATCAAAAGTCCCATTTGTCTTAAGGTCTTCCCCAAAGGCCTCCCCATCCTTGATAGCTTTCTAAAACTTCTTTACACCTTTTACGTTTTCTTTAAATACTTCTCTTAGCTTTCTTCAGTTTCTCTCTCTTACTTCTGTTCCTTTCTTTCTTACATTTCTCTCATTCTGTCACCTTCTGTTCTGTGGCCTTCCTCTCCTATCTTTAGTGGTTTCTTTGCTTTCTTTTCTATTTCTGGGACCCAGAAAGCTGTCAGCAGTAGTGTTCCCATCTGTTCTCTTCATGAAGCTGAAAGTGTGGCAGCTTTTATTGAACTTTGGGATTCCCAGATATTTCTTCTGATGTTTGATAGTAACTGATGGGTATTTCTTCATTTAGATGTGACTGCTATCATATTTGTGGTGGCAAGCAGTAGCTACAACATGGTTATACGAGAGGACAATCAGACCAATCGGCTCCAAGAAGCACTAAACCTCTTCAAGAGTATCTGGAACAACAGGTCTGTGAACTGAAATTTCGCTGTTTGTATCACATACATTGTAATCCTAGCTTGTATTTGTAGTCAAGACTTGTATACTGGACCTGGCTAGTTAATTTCCTTCATAGCAGTTCATGTACTTCAGCACTTAACATTTTACCTGCAGCAATACTGGTAACAAACTAATGTTGTAGCTATCGGTGAGCAGAGTTTGCAGAGCATCGACGCCTTCTCTGTTTCTCATTCTGTCCACCTAGTGAATAGTTTTGGGGTGTGCAGTAGATTGGGAGGGGACACAGCTGGACAGGTGACCCAAACTAACCAAAGAGACATTCCATACCATAATAATGCAATAAAGGGGAAAAGCAATAAAACGGAAAAGAGGAGGTTTAGGAGGGTTAGCCACCTTGCTGGATATTGATCTGCCTGTGGGAGGTGGTGGGTGATTGCCTTTGCATCACTTGTTTTATTTTCTTCTCTCTTCCACTTACCCGTCATTTATGAAACAACTGTTATTTATGATTTTTTTGTACCTTGACCTCCAAATTTTCTTGCTTTTATTCTTCCTTTCCTCTTCCCCCATCCCACTAAGGGGGAGGAACATGAGCAAGCAGCTGTGTGGTGCTTCACTGCCCACCAAGGTTAACCCACAGCAGCAGCTCAGCGCGCGTTTTTTGCCTCTCACAGTGCCCTCCAAGTTGGGCTTTGATCACAGCTGCCCACCTGTCACATGAGTGTCTGATACACTCATCAATTTGAGGAAAACTCTGGAGAGTTGCAAACTGGCAGTTGCCATTTTGAGGCTGAAGTGATTAAAGCAGTGATAGAGCAGCACACTAGAAAGTGGGTATGCTCACCTGGTTGATGTTTGGATTAGCAGTAGAAGGTGGATGGCTCCCATTGCCCATATTAGAAGCACACAAACCAAACTCAGGGTCTGTACACCTGGAGCTACACCCTTGGCTTCAGCTGTAAAAGGAACCTTTCAGAATTATTATACTGTGTCTTAGGACTGTTATCTCCAGAGCACGATTAGCTTCCTTTTTGCTGTATGATCATGGCTGTGCCTTCTCAGAGTGTTTGTTTTCAATTTTCTGCAGGTGGCTACGGACCATTTCAGTAATTCTTTTCCTGAATAAACAAGATTTGTTAGCAGAGAAAGTTTTGGCAGGGAAATCTAAAATTGAAGACTACTTTCCAGAATTTGCTCGCTACACTACACCAGATGATGGTAAGTTTTTAAAGTTTTATTAGTAATTTATAGTTTCCTTGTTAATCATGTTTGTAATGTTTTTGGGAATTTCACCTAAGACTTGAAATCTCTTAAGTAGATGTAATCTTTGTGGTGTTTCAGCCAAACTGTAATGCTAAACTTTAGGTATTAATAATGACAAAATCCTGTCTTATATATTTTTAATATATTAATGATTTCACCATGCCAAAATCCTGTTATTTTGCTGGTGTAGACCACAGTACAACTTGTCAAAGATGTCCTCTGCACTCCCCAAAGTTTTATCAGCGGTCATTTCTCTAACCTGCCAAACCCCTGGTACTATGATCACTGTAATATTCCTTTGTTCTCCTTGAAGCCTTGATGTTTTAAATATGTTTTGGTTAGTCTTATCTCAAAGTCAGTTTTGCAAAGTATGCTTCTATGAGAGCAGAAAACAGAACAAGTTAAGATTTTTAGGTGCCTATTACCAAAAATGATCTGTTTTAATGAGATACTTGTTTTGTTATTAATCAGCAATACCAGAGCCTGGTGAGGATCCCAGAGTTACAAGGGCCAAGTATTTTATTAGAGACGAGTTTCTTGTAAGTATTTCCTTACATTTATTATTTCTTACGTGATTCTTCTCAAATATAAACTCTTACCCAAGTTCTACTGTTGCAAAACACTGTCACCTTTTGTGTTGTTTGTATTTAACATCCACACTGCATAAAACACATGTAAGAGCTTTACTGCTGTTTGTTAGATGCTCTTCTGATACTTGTTTGTTGACATAGTACATAGTTAACTGGCAAAAGAATTGACGAGGAGTAAGAAACCTCAAATAGAATGAGTGAAGTCTTGCTATGATTAATAAGGCCAGATTTTTATTCCATGCATTAGTTCTAAAGGTAAAGACTAATTAAAAGATGAATCATCTGTAAAATTTAATATTATTTTCATATTCTCTTTCCCATTACTGGTCAGCTGAAGCTACAATAGACAGAGATCTGTCTGTTTTAATTATTATTACAATAATAATTACAATACTAGTAATGGTGAGCATGGCAATCAAATTGTGGACTCATTTTAAAAAGGAGCAAAATAAAATTTTGACAGAGGCTTTTTGTGAGTGTAAAGCAGGGATCAAGGCCTTGTACAAGGAGGCAAAATCCCACTTTCTTCACGGACAACTTGAGTAGGAGTTGTGTGGCTAAATTCCCCAAAGTAGCACGTGAATAACAGCATTTTCTTGAGTTCTCATTCAGCTCTGAGGTGCCTCAGTATGCAATGACCTTCTCCTTGTATCATTCTGATAATTTGCAATTTTGTGTTTTAGGTGAGAGAGTGAAAAATTATGCGCATTTTGCCTCTTAGTTACACCCTTTGAAAACACAGCTCACACAGATACGCCATAACCATCATCCCTGTGAGTTTTGAGAACATGGGGGTTTTTCCCCAGTCAGTTTTACTTTAACCCAGTATCTCTCTCTTACTTTTAACAGAGAATCAGCACAGCAAGTGGAGATGGAAGGCACTATTGCTATCCTCACTTCACATGTGCAGTGGATACAGAGAACATCCGGAGGGTTTTCAATGACTGTCGGGACATTATTCAGCGCATGCACCTTCGCCAATACGAGTTGTTGTGATGGAGAGCACTTTTTTCTGTGTTTTGGACTCCTTATTCCGCATTAAAAAAAAAAAAAGAAAAAACCACCCTTGCCCACATAGGGTGGAAGAGAACTGTTTGAATCTCCCATTGATTTGCACCCCTCAACTTTTTCTCCTTGCTGGACAACAGCAGCACTTCTAAGCTTGCTTCTGTACCCCTCGGACAGTTTGAGATGGCCCCTAACACTTGAAAGGCCATTTCCATGAGGATTCCCTAACACTGTTATTAACAAAAAAAGAGAAAGAAAGAAAGAAAGAAAGAAAACCTAATCAATTAAAAGCCCTGAATGTGGAGCACCTGAAAGAATTTGGGATATAAAATTAAAACTTAAAACAAAAATTGGGGAGAGAAAAGGTAATTTAGCACTGTTGTGGGCATAATCATATAACCCGTGATCTCCACTTTGTATCTTTCACTGCATCAGACTAAAGAAGGTGCCAAGTCACAGACCAAGTTTGAAGACAGACACTTGGGTTTGATTCTCTGACTGTAATGTGGCTTTGAACGGAAATACTGACAATTCTACAACAGACCTAGACAGTGCAAAAACCCACTGCTACTTTTCAGAAGGGTATTTTTAAAACCAGTCTTGGTGGTCTAAAGACAACCATGGACATTTATGAATTGAACTGCGTATGGCCTGTGATTGCAGAAAGAGTTAGCCACACACTGTTTTCAGTTTGTCCACTGATGATCCCGTCTGCTATAAAAATCATTATCTGGACTGTAGTCCTCACAGTCTTTCCCTTCTTTTTCTTCTTCCCTCCCCTCATTTTTTATTTTACTGCTGGATTATTATTCTTGTACAGACTGTAAAATGTATTATTTTGTACAACTTTATTGAAAAAAATAACTTGTAGAAGATCTTTGTGCCTTGATTATGGCTGTACCTGTACAATGAGCTAAGATGTAAGTATGTTTGATTGCGCTGTACAGCTTTGTCAACCCTATCTGCAGCATTAGCTCAAGGTAGGGAAAATTTATCTGTAGTTTAGTTTTTCTGGTTTATAAAAGAAGGAAAAATACTGTTTAGTAAAAAAAAAAAAAAAAAAAGAAAAGAAAAAAAAAAAGAAAAAAAAAGTACAAATTGTGCAAACTTAACCACTTTAAAAGTGAGGTCTTCAACAAGTGACCAGATGTTGCAGCATCATGCTTTTTAATTTTTAGCTTTAATTCATTTAAATCTCTATCCAAATGCAAAACATGGCTTGTTTCTACATAAACCAAATTTTGCTACAAATGATAAATGTTAGTCTTTGGTCATTCATATAGTCCTTTTTGCTAAAAAAACAAAACCAGGACAGTAACAGACACATAGGGCATCATGCAGGTCTGGTGACCATCTCTAGACTGGGCCAAATACCCCACCAACCTCCACTCACGCCGCGTGGGCAAACGACTACCAGAATGACAAGGTGTGCACTGCCCTTGGATTTGGCCACTGAATTCCAGTTTCAAATGACATTTTTATTTCTCTTTTAATAAAGAGATACTTTAGAACCTTTTTTTTTTTTGTTTTATATTAACTATATAAGTAGCTTAAAGTGAAGATGTGTGGATTTTTCTTAAACTTGAATAATTTATGCAAATTATATGCTTAGAACAACATGTGGTACAGTAAAAAAGAAAAAGAGCAAAAATCACTGTAGCAATAAGAGAGCATGTAATTTTAGTAACTACTACACTGCTTTATATTTTATACCTAGGTGTTTTATGTCTCTGTGAGTGTGTTACTTTTTCATGTGTCTAAACCTACGTGTACAATTTGTACAGAGTCAGAAATTACAGCTGTAATAACACATCTAGAACAGTGTTAGCCTATATTACTCAAACACCCCTGTTCCCCCTTCCTTTGCACCCCTAAACTGATCTGGATCTTACTGCAGTGACTTTAAAAGGAAAGCAAAAGAAACAAAACAAAAAATGAAACACCAAAATACTTGCCTCCTTGCCTTTCACACTAGCTTCCCTCCACCCAAGTGACAGTGTTCACTTTCTTTTTTGGGAAGAGGTCCAGTTTAATTTAACCTTAGGGTGTGGTCAGTGATGTCTGTGCAGCTAGATTTGCTTCAGGTATCAGATGCCTTTCTAGTACTAAGAACTGCAGAACTGTGAGTTTTTGTTGCTTTTGTGGCTAAATTTTAAAAGGAAAATTAATCACCTAGTCCATTTTCATGTAAAGAGCAGGGACTTGATGGAGTTACTGTCCCAATCTCTTAATTCAAAATTACTGGTGATCTTTCAGAAGACACTAAATATCTTAAAAAATGTTAGCTGCACTTGCTACTCATTTTTGAAAAACTGTCTCTCCTGGGCACAGGTTTAGAAAGTTGCCACCTGAACTTTGTAGGACTGTAGGAGATAATGACCGAAAACAGCCCCCTATGATTTAAGAATGTATCCAGTGCCTGTAGGCTAAGGGCTGGTGTTTCCACTAGGAAAAAATGGGACACATGTAGTGGAAAGAAAATTCATTGTGAGCCTTAATTTTAGTTACAAGAGCCAAAATCTTTAATTTAGTGCCAACCCTTATCCTTCTAAGCCTAAGAGGAGTTGGTGTAAACACCAAATTTATAATTAGGGAAAACCTGTAGTTTTGTGAAGAATGTAATCTCTCATCTGAGAGAAAAAAAGAACCTCCATTAAAAAAAATAAGCTTCTTCCTCTGGTAATGAGCAGGATACATAACAACAATGAGCTATTTAAGACAGCAACAGTTTAAGAAACCTAAAGATTTATATGAACAGAAATGTTTAGGGGATGCTTTTTTTTTACTTAAGTGAGGAAAAAGGCAATTGTTTTGAATATGGTTGAGTTGCACAAGTATGGAGTGTGTGTGTGTCTTAATGTCTCAGTATTGCCTTTGTTAGTCTCTTTATTAGTCCATGCAGTTTGGTGGCCTGGTAAATGCAAGTCTTATTTTTAACAGCTTTCTTTTTCTTCTTTTTAAATACAAAACCATAAAGCTTTAATGCTTGCTATTTAATAAGTAACTGTGTTTCCTTCTGTCTCTAATTTAGTGGCCATAATTTGCAGTTAATTGAACCATTCCAACCTAATGCTTACTCATATTTCCTAGTTTTATTTTATTTATTTATTTGAACTTCTTGTTTTCATGATTGAGGACTTTCACTTCTGTTTCATTCATCTGTTTGGAAACTTCTGACCTTACAGCCAAAACTTAACTCATTCTACTCAGTATTCATCATGATGCTGAAGTGTAAGATACCTGCAAATGTAAACACTACCACTTTTATTAATAAAAGCAAATACAGTGTTTTAGGGCACATTTTCATCACTATAGTTAAGGTTGTGTCAGTATTTCCATTATAAACCCATAAAGGGTCTATATCTTGGCACTAAATTGCCCTAAACTAAATCTTTGCTATAGAAGCTTGTGCTCAAGCATGATTTGGTGGGTTGATTTTTTAAGTAGTTTCCAACACAAACTCATTTCTGGTTTAAGTTATACAACTGTTTTGTTGGGTGGGGGTTGGTTAAAAAAAAAGAAAAAAAAAAAGAAAGAAATAAGAAAGACAAAAAAAAAAAAAAGAAAAAAAAAAAGAAAAAAAAAAAGAAAAAAAAAAAGAAAAAAAAAAAGAAAAAAAAAAAGAAAAAAAAAAAGAAAAAAAAAAAGAAAAAAAAAAAGAAAAAAAAAAAGAAAAAAAAAAAGAAAAAAAAAAAGAAAAAAAAAAAGAAAAAAAAAAAGAAAAAAAAAAAGAAAGAAATAAGAAAGACAAAAAAAAAAAAAGAAAAAAGAAAAAACCAAACCAACAAAAACAACAAACCTGGTTCAAGATTGTTTTTGCACTTCTGTAACTCAGAAATGGTTTTAATTTTAAAACATAACCTTTGGCAAGCCAGTAACCTACAATATGGTCTGATCACTTTGGGTATTTTGTAAAAATAATAATAAATTGTAGAGATGTTGTGGTTTCAAAATCAGCTGCTGGTCATTTGCAGTAACTTATTTCAACCTAAGAACTTGTAGTGATTGTTTAGTACATCATTTTACATATTCAGCAGCCAGTGTGATGCAGCAGAATAGCGGTAACTCCTGAAGGGTTGCTTTTTTAAAAATAATGTGAAGACGTAAATCTACTACAGACTAAAAAAAGATTCAGCTGCTTCTGAAAGCATGAAAAGCTGCTCTCTTAGAGGCTGAAACTGGAGCTCTGTGAGTTGTTTATGAGCAGACTTTGATGCAAAAGCATACGAAGGCATGCTGGATTAGTTGTCGTAGACAAGGAGCCTGGAGGGTTTATTTTCATTTATCTGAAAACTATTTTGGATCATGCCATCAAGGGGAGGATCTAACTTAGAGTATGCCTCTAACTCCTGAGGAACTGAAGCTAATTCTGTTTCAGTATATTGCACATAATTGATATCTGCAGGATAATTTTCTTTACCCGGTAGATCTGTGCACAGAATTATTAATGTTCATCACTTTAGAGTCTGAGCACCTTGTAATTAGTTGTGGTGCAATATTCATGTAAGTGATGTAGGATATTTTGTACTATATCTTGTTTTCCAATGTTGAAAATGTTATGTCACGAAAAACAAAAAATGTAAACATGGTTACACAGGAAATTGACCACAGGTAGAGAGACAGACCCCATGAGAACTGAGTACCAGTCCAGTGCCTTAGTCATAATCCCGTTGGTGGTTGGTGCTGTACAAATGTCTAAGACTGATGAAGTTGTTATAAGTTATAAAATCATGTGACTTACTCCAGAAGAGAACAAGTTCATTTCCTTTCCCAGCTGTATCTACTATGCTGTGTGTATTTGTAACAGTGCTGGCACTCAGAAGACCTCTTCGTGGAAGCAGGTGGTAGCATTTCTGCTAACTGTAAGAAGCAGAATCGGGGTCATAGACTGCAATCAGTGGAAGTCACACAGGAACAGATCTTCATCCCTGAATTACATCTTGAGTTGTTGAACAGTAAAAATATTTACAAGCAAACATCTGTTTGCAATCCAGAAACAAAACTGTACCCTTCTTCCTCAGCTTGATATTTCTGAAAATGCATCCATTGGGAAAAAAGTCTTTCTGCTCTAAACAAACTTCCAAGTGTCTTTGTAAGTAAAACAAGCTACAAAGAGGATTTCTGAACCTCTGCTGAGGAAAGCCCTTACACTGAAAAGTATCTCTGGTGATTGACAAGACAGAAATTGCAAGAGTGAACTTTGCTATTTGGTTATGACCGGGAGTATAAATGCTGTGAGTGGATGTGCTTCAGTTACTAGGTAGGTAAACTGCTTTAGAGTGTTTTACTGTATTGCTAAGATGGCTAAAATTTCAGCCATGAGCACTGGCTTCATAATTAATTGTTTTCAACCCTGATTCTCATTTTATTAAAAGTTAAAACTATTTTTTACCCTGTTTCCTTTAATGTACTGAGCTGAGCAAAATGGGTGCAGTTTAAAGAACAAGTCTGCTTGGAAAAGCAACTTGGGAGGAGGTGGGGAGTCAAACTCATCTTTCACTGCATTAAACATAAAAATAACCAGGTGGGCTTGTTTTTTCTAATTTCTGGGTCCTGTAAGCTGAACTCGGCTCTGTGGAAAAAATAGGGCATTTTTCTCTATGTTAACAACAGCAAGTGCTCATTGATACCTCTGCAAAAAGGGGTAACTGACCAACTATGTAATCAATTTTCTTTTTGAAACAAACCCACCAAACCAGAATTTACTTGTATTTCCAAATTTTTTTTAACTTAGGAAGTCTGCCTCAAAAATGTTTATTTTAATGACAGTAAAGCCTTTAAACATTGTCCGAGAGACAGAAAGAATTATACATTTTTTGAGGGAGAAGATGCTGATGTTTTTTATGTAACAAAACATGCTTTCCAACGCTGGGGTACCAGTAGACAAATATAAGCAAATTCAAAAGTAGAATGTGAAAGTATCTCTTCAATTTACCCAGTTGTTTTATTAAATCAGTTGGCTAATACATTAGTATTTTTTTATTAGTAATACACTGCTACTCAAGTTTGGAGAAAGAACAAGCTTAGGACAGAGTTAATAACGTTGGGAGTTCTGTTGTTCTGTTATGCAAATTAATGTTTTCAGGCTGTGAATTTCATGTGAATTATTCATAGTGAAGTGAAGTCTTTCTGTCTGTAGTTTTCAGGTATTTGATATGGCGAGGGAATTGTGTCATGCTTGCAGCTGAAACACTGGAGTGCCCGCAGAGATCAGGCAGAGAGAGGAACTGCTGTATGAAGGCCAGGAATTGCCCCATGAGGCTGTTTCCAGAGGGGCCACATTCTAGTTCTTTCTCACTCAGCTTTCTGTAGGCAGGATCAGAAGAGCTTCCATAAGGGACAAATTAAGGGTTTGGGTGATAAAATATAATACTTGTCTGTGTAAGACCTCGAAGTGTTAATTAAAGGTATATTGAACTTGTGTTAAGCTAGAACCATGGGACACAGCAAGTCTTTCCTGAAGTGTGTGTGTGGTTTCAGATGTATCTCAGTGTATTTAATCTCCATTCTCTTCTTGCTTGAAAGCACAACATCCAACATGATGTAACTTTAAAGTTCTGGTGCTAACCTGGAGTTCTGTTTCCTACAGGGCAAAACCGCTGGGCTACCAGGGGTCATCTCTGTAGGAGAGTTGGGAAGCCCAGTGCTGCCACAAGGGGAGCTGGAGAACTTAAAACCTTGTTCTGTCCAGCATCATGATGCAAAACTTGGTACCTTTGGATTCAGCTAATTTCTCCTGTCCTCGCTCCTGCATCCCACCTACTTTTACAACGTGTGGTTGATAGAGAATAGAGCAGCTTTGAAAGAAAGTTATGAGACAACATCACTGAAAGTTCAAAGGAACTAGGGAAAGGTAGATAAACAAGACACCTAAATCCATCACTGGACACTGAAAAATATATTTATGGGGGAAGTTCTTCGTTCCCCAGGTAAGTGACCCAGTTTGGACTCCTTACACCAATTTTCAAGGTCAGTGGATGAATTATCTAAAATGCCAGGATATCTCCAGCTAAGAAACCACCAAAAAATACATTTACTACATAACAGAACTGGGAGATACTTCAGGGATGTTTAAATTTAATGATCAGTATGCAAATCAACTGGAACTAGATTTGAAGGAATAAAATGTTTCCACTATAACCTCATCTTGAAAATAACTTGGGGCATTGTGAGGTGAGGCTTTTAAGCAATCCACAATAAATAAATAGAGTTCTAACTTCTAAGTTGTTGTTTGAAGGAGAGGCAACCTAAAAAACATCTTGTTTTGTCTTTGAATACTTTTCAGTTATCTAGCACAGTGTCATGGTCTTCAAATTTTGCAATAACACTGGTACCAGTCAGTTGTGAATCTCGAGGTACAAACAAAAATCCTTAATCTTCGGGTTCTGCTTGAGAAGGGAGAACTCTTCAGTCAAAGTTCATTAGCCTAAATAGATGCTGATGTAGTTTCCTGCTTGATTTGAAAGTTACTACCTTATCTGTAGTTGAATATATTGGCTGATTTGTAAAGGGCTAACAATTAAGAAATACAAACTTATGCTAAAGGAATTTGTAGAGGATAAGGAGCAGAGGCAGTTAGCATACAGAAAATGCCAGGGTGGATATTTTTTTGAAAGCTTGTGAATAAAAGGCAAAGAGTTTTGTTGGAAGTTGGCTCCTCTGTTTGGGATTTTTCTTTTATGCTAGGAAGGAACCAAGTGAAGTTGGATTATTTCATCAGCATTCACCCCTTCTTTAGGTAGGAAGTCTTGAAGCATAGTTGTTAAATAATTTGTTGAAAAATCATGCAACAAATTTTTATATGTAGGTGGTAATTGGAATTTGATGTTTATCCTTTATTCCCTTAGAAGAGCCATTACTAGCCTGTATGAAACTAGCCTTTGCTTCTAATTTGTTTTGTTTTAAAAAGAAGGTAGTTCTCTGCATTTCTCTAGATCTGGCTGCTCTTCACACACGTCTACTTTCCAGGATGCCTTTATTGCTTCTTCAAAGCATCCAACAGAGATTCTGGGCTGACCTTCAAAGTATACTTATTGAACTAAAAAATTGATCTTTAATATGCGCACTGCCTCATCAAAATCTCTTTAGATGGGAATTGTGACTGAAGAATACACACAAAATATAGTCAAATATGCATTTAGGGGAAAAAATGCGTAGCATTCATTTGCTGGATAATGAAATCTTTCAAGACACATTCAAATTCATCCATGCTTTTGTTTATTAACATTTCACTGAGACTTTGAAAAGTAAAAATCCATATGGGAGAAGCAATGTTGTTTCCATTCAAAGTTGTAAAGGTTTAGTTTGCAAAATCAATTTCTGGTAAATTCAGTGTTTCATCACAGTTTAATGATACCTTGAAACTGTTGGGTTTGATCTGATTTCAGTCATGAAAGTTCCTTCTACCTATATAAAGACACCTTTTGTACAAAGTGCATTTATTTGAACCTTCTGAAAAGAACTAGGGTCTCCTCCTGAGCCTCACAGTTTCTCAGCTTTATGGTTTTCCCATCCAATTTCATTGCAATGTTAGTTTAAGTTCTGGACTCGCATTTTCTCCAATTTTAAGTTTTTTTGAACCTTCTCTTAGGGTAATATAATAGTTACTCTGAAATGACCTTCAGAGAACTTGTCCTACATCTTACAATACTGTAGATCATTGCAAGAAAACAACAACAAACAGAGCTGATGAAGCATAAGAGGTGTATAGATGTTTCTTACTTGCTTCTCAAAAAATACTTCTTCGTTGGTTTGGGATAGATTAAATTCAGGTCCAGTATTTTCTTAGTAGTTCTGTCTGGTTAATCACACTGCTGTGAGTATGCCCTTATTTTCTCATGTCTACAAGATGGAAATTGCCCTCCAACTAAATGGAGGTAAGCCAAAAACTTTTTCTCAAGGGTGTTTCCATTGGCCTCCAGCCTGTCACTCACTCCCAGTTCTTTCCTCATAAAAAAGAGCCAGTTGAAATGTTACTTCTCTGTCTTCCTGACTGCAGACAATGGAGCAATCATCTAACACAGGTAGAGAACGTGTCCCTTGTGCCTCTGCTTCAATATATGCCTTTTATTCTGGAGAAGGCTCTTTTCCTTGCTGTCAGCAGAGCGAAAAGAGCAGTTCTGAGCTCACAGGAACGTTTCGGCAAGGGCCGCTTCGCCAGGGCGGCAGGTGAGAGCGCAGCTGGTGCTGCTGTGGATTTTCTGTGCTGAAATGTTAAGTGCAGCCCTTTCGGTACCGCAGTGCCCGTTCCGGAGCAGGGGCTGCAGCTCCGGGGCGGCAGGACCCGCGCTCCTCGCCCGCAGCTCCGCCCGCAGCGCCCGCCCCTCCCGCCGCTCCGCCCAGGGCCTGGTTCCGGCCTCGCTGCCGCGGGCCCGGGGCGGGACGGGAGGAGCCATGGAAGGAGGGAGGAGGAGCT